AAGAAAGAAAGAAAGAAAGAAAGAAAGAAAGAAAGAAAGAAAGAAAGAAAGAAAGAAAGAAAGAAAGAATTTTAAAAACTTCTTACAGACAAAATATTTTACAATACTTCAACCTATTATATTATATAATAATATCATGTAATTTAAGACTAATAATACTAACTACTGGAGTTTTCCGGAGTCCTGCTCTGGGGGTTGGTGTGTGTGTGTGTGTGGGGGGGGGGGTGGAAGTGGTTTTCTGTGGGACTCTTGGTTGAAGCTCTGTAAGCTTGTGCAGTGACCACTTCACCAAGTGAGACTCGCCTTTTTTCCCCCTAACATACTGTATATAAAGAAGTTCGGCTCATTTGTTCCACAAAATCATTTATTTTTATTTATTAAACCAATCTACTTCCTGTTTTCTTTTTAAAGCTGTCACTTCAAACATACACCGTTGCTTTTTTTTTGTTAAGCTCATCCTCTGCTTGACGTTAAAAGATGATTTGTTTGAAAAAAAAGTTGATTTAATAAGAAAAGTCTTAGAAAAAGGCTGTAAAATGACACCACTGACCTCATCTCTGCAGCAATAACTGCTGAGCCAGTTCTGTTCTTATATAAACTCATTTTTTTTACATTTTTTAATTTTTTGGTTAAAGTTAGCTCTTCAGAAAACAACTGAGATGTTTAGATGAGTTGTATCGAGGAGGGAAGTGTTTCTGAACAAGTGTAGCAGTGAAGATTTTCTCCTCTCACACTTGGGTGTGTCTTTTCTGAGCAACATATGGGCTTCAGCAAATCTAAAATAAAAAAAATGGATGTTAGGTCATTTCTCTTGAGTATTTTATTTGGAAAAGCAGATTATTGATGTAAACTCTGCGTTTTCTCATAATGTGAACATCTGTGTTTGCTTTAGGTCTTGGCTATTGTTAAAGCAGTAAAATGACCTCCCAAAGGGCCAGAGTTGTGATGTTGTGCAATAATTCACATCATAATTCACGAGTAAACAGAACACGTTTCATATTTGCTCAGCGTTTCTTGTCTGGTTTGTTTACCTTCATGCGCTTTTTTTTTTTTTTTTTGTAGTATTTGCAAATGCCACCAAGGCTTAAAAGGAGTCCCTGTCATTAACCCAGGGTGCGGCATGAAACTGGAAGCCAACATGTGCCGACATGACCGGCCGTTTCGTTTACCGTACGGGTTGTTTGCAGGATTAAAAAGAGAAAAAAAATCCTGCATGGGAGAAAAAAGGCTTAGAATCAGCTGATTATTTTAAACATTTCCAAATCAAACAAGGAAATCAAAATCAGAGCCATTTCCTTAAATTTGATCAACTCCCACCATGACGAACTTCACAATAGTTGTTTTTTATGTTTCTTCTTCTTTCAGGCAACAACAAAGCCTCTGGAAATCCAATTAGACTTAGTAAACGTGACAAATTTAAAGATGAATGACATCTCAGAGTGGCTGGTAGAAAACAGGGAGAAGATCGAGAAAGGAGTGGAGATCATGGCCCAGGCCTCCAGGGTGCTGGCGTCCTCCGTGGGCCAGCTCCACCCGGTCCTGGAGGCCGTGTTCAAGGTCTCCGCCGAGCTGCTGAAGAACCCCGACAGCAGCGAGGCCAACTACCTGACACAGCAGCTGACCAAGGTGAACGATCAGCTCACGGTGATCCAGAACGAGATCGATCAGATCGAGCTGGAGATGATGACTACGTCGATGAACAAGAAGAACTTCGACTGGGAGGTCCACATCCTCAGCCAGTTCGAGAGCTTCCAGGACTTCCTCAACGCTAAGCCCAAGTTCAAGGAGAAGAAGAAGGAGAAGTTTCTGACTCATTACAATGTGACGGAGGGCGACTTGAACGTGGAGGCCCTCTACAACGCCGTCATGGAGGACACCTGCTCAGAAAGGCCCATCCTGGAGATCGTGCTGGCCACCAAAGAGAGGAACAGGAAGGCGGTGGAGGACTTCTGCGCTCGACTGAAGAAGCTGTTTGTGGTTGGCATCATATCCATCATGGCCTACGCCGCCTTCAAAGAGGGAACCGTTGATTCGGAGACGGTGAAAAAGTGGAAGGAACGAATGGAGAACGTGGAGGACAAAATGAAGGCGGCCGTGGACGACTGCGTCGAGAACTTCGCCGAGCAGGCCAAGCTGGACATCAAGAAGAAACTAGACGTGAGCCCCGGCCCCGTGGACCCCAAGTGGACCAAGTCCCTCCTGGAGATCCTGGAAAACAAATATGACTGGGTGAGCTGGTCCATCAGGGCCTTCAAGAACAGGGAGCGTGTTTTCTTCTTCAACTGGTTAGCAGGGAAGAAGTACCACGGGTGCAAAGGCGACAACTCCTTCGAAGTCCTGACGAAGAACAAGATCAAGGTGGTGGTCTCGTTCTGCACCGAGCCCAAGCCCATCGACAAGAACCGGATCCAGGAGCAGATTGAGCAGACCAAGCTGAACAGGAACATGATGTCGGTGGCTCTGATCCTGCAGGAGAACTTCCCCGAGTGCTTCATCCACGCTGTGAGTCACTACAAATCAGTGGAGGAGGCGAACAACTTCCCGGAGGACTGCCACTACTTTGGACGATACAAAGGAGCCTACCTGTGCTTCCATTCTCAGTAGGCTTTAAAAACAGACAAACTCATGAATCATCTGCAGCTATACTCCTATATCACTTCTGTGGATGTGTAATCTTGGTTCGGTTATGGGATTCTTTTACTCGCAGCATTTTTATTCTTCTTCCAGCTGTTGAACAGAAACTTCAAGCCATACTCTTCCTCACCGTCCTCATCTTCATGTTCTTAGGTCCATGTCTGGATAATAAACAGGTTGGGAGACCCATGTCATGTCTTTGTCTGGTTAAATGACCTTTTACCCCATCAGGCACTAGCAGGGTTGTATACCTCAAAGTGATAACTGAGTAAAAGTACAAGCATCTTCAAGTCTTAAAGTGCCTGTGACATCAAATTTTTATGATAAATTTAAATGCATTTTTTGGAATGATTACATCGACAATATGTTGCTTTTTTACATCACTAAGATGGACAGTTGTTGAGATATTTGCATGTGAAGTAACAGGAAGTGATGTCAAAGGGGAATGTCTGAATGTGAACAGAGCGTTGCTACAACGGCTGCTAACAGTAGCTGCGTTTCCATTGACTATGAAAACGCGCAAATTAGAATTTTGAAAATAAATTTGCTCAATGGAAACACGTCAAATTCGAAAAAAATACGTTTTCGACAAAATGTTTTTGCGCTAGGATGAGGTGGTTTTTCGGCCGTATCTAAATTGGTGTTTTTCGCAAAACTGCAATGGAAACACTTTTTCACATCACGGGAGTCACATGATCAACAACCGGCTGTTTCTACTGGTGAAAAAGACGATGACGAAGAAGATAACAGGAAGTAGAAGTAGTAGTAATATCACAGAAGTAGTTTAAAATAGTAAACTCATCGACTACAATTTCCCAAAAACACAGCATATGTAGACGCTCCCAAGTAGGGACTTGTCTCTGGAAAGCCTCGATAAAGACGCCGACGTCTCCTCTGATGATGAGCGCTAGTGTCGTGGTAGCAACATGCTATGTGTTTACATCCATCACCACCATGTTTGTAATGACTTATCATGAGAACAAGCATATTCACGTGACTTTAATAACATTTCTTACTTAATGGAAACACCGCATTTGCGAAACTGTGTTTTTTCGACATTAACAGAATATCGACAAAGTTTTGCGCACATTTACAATGGAAACACAGCTACAGACTAGAGAGAAGAATCTGCAATATTTAGAGTCACTGTCATAGAGAGATGAATAAAAGACAGGTTTTAGTAAACAAAGACCAGGTAGTTCCTTTTCTTAAAAAGTTCCCCTTTGATCTCACTTCCTGTTTCATTTTGGCTGAGCCAAGTTCAAAAGAAAATATGCCATTTATGTGGTAAAAAAACGCAAAAGCGTGCATGTTATGCTGTTTCTTAAATATACATTTTTTTTACTTTTTGTATTTGAAGGATATGCATGTCACAGGTACTTTAAAGTATCTGACTTTCTTTGTACTTAAGTATCAACAGTAAATTTCTGACATAAAATGTACTTGAGTATTAAAAGTAAAAGTATTGTGTCGTTAGATTTTCCAAAATTACATTTATTCGAAGGTGACCTCTCCAAAAAACGTTTTCTAAAGGCGTGAAGCTGTGATGGGTTGAGTACAAACTAATACTGTATCAGAATGGTAAATATTTATACGTAATCCAACCACAATTAAATTCACTCTGTCCAGGGACTGTATTTATGTTTAACAATAATGAGCCAGAATGAAATAAGAGTAACAACTTTCTACTTATAGTACTTATTAGTACAGATAATTGTGTCAAAATGTAAGGAGTAGAAGTAAAAAGTTGGCTGAAACATAATTACTGAAGTACAGAAAAAAAATTCTACTTAAGTACAGCAGCAAAGTATTTGTACATAGTTACTTTCCAACTCTGGGCACTAGGACCATGCAGCGTTCAAGCTGTAAAAACAGCTTCCCCTGTTCTCCTGCAGCCTCTGCAGCTACATCATGAGAGGGGTCTCTGGCTTGTTGCATTCATTTCAATTAGAACAAAGATTTGTCGGTTTAGAAGCAGAGAAAATAAAGTTTGAACTTCTCGTTAATGCATTTGAGTTTAGAGAAGTGTGCTAAAATTATTATTAATAAAACACAAAGGAGTTTCACTCTAATGTCCTGATGCTGTAGAGTTTAAAGCTACAGAAACTGCCTGAATTAGTTTTATTCATGTAAGATTTTTTGTTTCCTTTAGTAATGTCAAGCTGAGATCAGCTGTTTGCTGCACGTTTGTTCAAAGTGGATAAAATGATTGAACCAGCAGCTGTAAAGCAGATTAAAACTAAACTGAAATGTGAAAGTATAAAATGAACATTTCCCAGGTGTTTTAGTGTTTGGTGGCTGGGTCCAGAAACTTCAAAGGTTTTTTACACAAAACCCTCAAAAACCACAACTTGTCATCTTGACCGTGTTTGAAGGTTCTGGTCCAACCTGTTTCTCCTTCTTTTCATGTAGAAATTCAGCTCAGAGCTTCTGGTTTTTATTTAACAGAAACAGAAACGATAGTTTCCTTTTTTTTTTTTTAATCAGATAAACTGAGTTGGTCCTGCAGAAAAGGTGAGCTTCAAGCTTCAGTGAAGATTTTATTACTGCTTTCTCCAAACAGAAACTTTCCGTTAGAGTTAACAAAATAAAAGACATGACAAACCTGTTCTTCCTGGAAAATGCTGTATAATGAAAAACAAACAAATCATTCTGATGTTTTATTTTTAGTTTGCTGCGAACTTATAAAATCAAGCATTATCATGTGTATTTTTCACTTTAAATTGTAATAAACAACAGAGGATGGAAGCTTTTCTTATCTTTGTTTTCATACTTTGTTCTTTAAGTGTTAAAGGATCGTTCAGACAGTTTGTTGATAATGTTTTGAACAAGAAAAAAGTTGAATTCTGACAGGACAACGGCCAGTCTGAAAATCAAAATGGATGCTTGTCATCCTAAAACAGCTATAATCTAACAAAACGTTATTATTCAAACCTTTAAATCTTTATCTGTTTCATATTATATGGGTATTCTAGCAGAAATGTTTTATTCAATTTGAGTCCTGGCTGCACAGGAAGTGCCACAGTTAGCTGCTCCTGCTAATAACCATAGAAATCAATAAAACTCTTTAAGCCAATCCTGAAACACCTTGTGGACATCTTAGTGTGGTTTCTGACAGGACAGAGGCAGCATGGGGGGGGGGGGGGTGAAGTCAGAACGCCTCATTGCTGGTGGGGACTAAAGCAAAGAGCTTTAAGAGGAGGACCGTCGGTTTCTAGGGCTGCAACAACACAGAAAACTCACCATTCTGCTCAGTTTGATACTTAAGTCTTGTGGTTTGATATTTTTTCAATACAAAAAAGAGAAATGTCCATGCCCTTCTTAACTTGTGACTTATTGAAATGAATTATGAACATTTTTTTTTACCTGAAAAGTACAGTTTCTAAATGAAATGTTGCTGAAACAGCGAGTTTCTCAGTGGATCTGTGCTCCACAATACAGCCTAGGTGGAGTAGTCGAACACAGATCCACTGATCCTTCAACACAGAGCATCTTCAGAAGACAAGTTGATAAAATAAATGTTAATAATCTGTATTGTTCCATGTATAGTGCGTAATGAACCTAAAGCTCTGTATTGAACAAAAAGAAAAAATAGTATAGGTCTTCTGGACGGGTTCTTCTCTAATGAAACGTTTCGTCTCTTCTCCAAGAGACTTCTTCAGTCTGAGAGTTTCAGGCAAAATTCAGGCTTTTAAGCCCTGCCTCCATGTGACTGATACTCACATCACATGGCTATCGTTCACACCTAATTAATACCTTTTGTTAACAGGGGTGGAGTGATACTGCCAATGGCCTCGCTGTAGGAGGGGGACAACTGAAAACGGAGGCCTCCACCTCTGTTTAATGATGGACGGTCTTTCTTCACAAAAATGGCTTCTTTAACTCCTCTCTCAAACCAACGTTCCTCTCTATCAAGAATGAGAACATCCTCATCTCTGAAAGAGTGACCGCTGGCCTGTAAATGAGTGAAAACTGCAGAGTTCTGGCCATTAGATGTAGCTCGTCTGTGTTGGGACATTCTTTTGAACAGTGGCTGCTTTGTTTCCCCGATGTATAACTGGTCGCAGTCCTCCTGGCACTGTGCAATGTGATGTGAGTATCAGTCACATGGAGGCAGGGCTTAAAAGCCTGAATTTAGCCTGAAACTCTCAGACTGAAGAAGTCTCTTGGAGGAGAGACGAAACGTTTCATTAGAGAAGAACCATCCAGAAGACCTATACTATTTTTTCTTTTTGATTTTTTACCTGGATTACTGAGATGCATCAGGACTGTATTGAACAGTTCCATACAGATACATGTGTTGTTGCACCTCTATTATTTTCCTCGTCACAAATATCTCGTCATGTGAATTTTGAGAATTTTCCATTTTTTTATTTTAGAGTGAGAGTTTCAAACTTTTCTCAATTTAATTTCTGCTGAGTTTGCTCTGCAGGAAGCCGTTAACATAAAAAAGTTGTAATTTTCAAAATGTAGACACATGGCTTACCGGTTGATTGGTAACAAACCCTCACAATTCAGCAAAACTTAAAACACAAAAGTGTTTTTTTTTACCAGTCTAGAGCAGCTGAATGTCCAGCAGTGGTCAGATCCATCCAACAGGTGTGATGCAGTGATGATGTGACCAATCAGCTGCAAGGTTTACAAAGGGAGGCAGCTCACTTACATCCTGAAGAAAAATGATAAAAAAATAATAATTATTTATAAACTTCCTCAGAACTCTACTTGAAAATGTCCGGAACATCCCTTTAAACTAATCAGAAGTGAAACAGAACCGCTTCCGTTTGGTTCTTTCTGACTTTTCACATGTTTTATCAGTAAAGTTGTGCAGCAGCAGCACTTCCGGTGTCTCAGGGCGCGCCTGTCCTCTGGTCACGTGACCAACAGGAAGACAAACACTCCGACATTTATAAACTCCTTCCTGCAACTTTTTAACCAACAGGTGAGTCCGTCTCTGCTCAGACCCTCTTCAGGTCCACACTTTAAACAACAAACAGATTAAAGTTCGACTTGTCGACCAGGAAATGATCGATAATCGACTTTAATCCTCGTGACGTGTTCGTCTCGAGCTCCCTGTCCCTGTCGTCACGGCAGACGCGCTTATTCGATTAAAATGAACATTTAATGAAAGTTTCTTCATGTTTTCGAGTCACAGCAGGGATTAGAGGAGCTTTGAACACTTTGAACAGAAATGTGAAACTTTTCTGGGCGTTGGTTTCCAGCTCCGGCTCTGCTGCCGCCTCTTTAATTCCAGGAAGTGTTTCTGGACTTCAACATGTTGTGGTTCTGTTCGGTTCTGTTGTCTGAGCTCCTGTTTCACAGACTGATCGATATGTTTTACATTAAGAGAACGCATTAACAGACAGCTAATGCTTCTCTAACTCAAAGCAGATAGCTGTCCTTGTCTGTTAGTAAAATATCTGATGAAGCAGTGGCTGAAGGTGGTGGTTCTGGACGGGACACAGTGTTTGGGTCTGATTGGGTTTGAAGGAAAGGAGAGGAAATCTGAGTCCAAACCTCTGATAATGTGATTTAGTTTGAAATGCTTCAGGAAACCTGGAGATATCCCATTTTAGAAAGGTCCTTTCAGATATGATGCACTTATTCTTCTGCTGCTTCCTGGTGCAGTTTCCTGTTGTTATCCTCAGTTATTATTATTATTATAATTAGTTATTATTATCCTCAGTTATTATTATCCTCAGTTATTATTATCCTTAGTTATTATTATTATTATT